GATTTCTTGAAAGAAAACACATCATCAGATCCTTCAAAAGTATTATTTGCTGTATATTATTTGGTTCTGGACTAGAATGTAAGTTACATGAGGGTAGGGACTTTGCACGTTGTGTTTGATTTTGTAATATCAAGCCCTTAATGTGGTGCCTGACACATAAGAGGCATTTATATAGCTGGTGGTGAATGAGAGGACAAAGCAATTCCTAAGGTGAAAAGTAGGAGTTTTCCAGATGAAGAAGACAGGAAAGGTATTCCAGACAGATGAAGGAATGTGCAAGAAGTCACAAGAGGGAGTGAAAGCACGGTGAATGGGAGGAACTGAAACACAACCAGGCTGAAAAGTGTGTGGATATGGATGCCATAAGCGATGAAGCTGAGAAGAGACCAAATCAAGTAGGGTCTTGGAAGCTATGCCAGGGAATCTGAGCTTGATGCTCAAGAGCAATGGGAAACCAACAAGGATTTTAATCAAAGAAAGAGTATAATCAGTGTGTTTCTTAGAGTTCATTCTTTATTCTGTCAATACACTAATAACTCAAATTTGAAGGAAAAAATAGACACCACACATAAGCATCAGTTCAGTTCAGTTGCTCAGTCATGTCTGACTCTTTGTGACCTCATGGACTGCAGCACACCAGGCTTCCCTGTCCATCACCAACTCCTGGAGCTTGCTCAAACTCATGTCCATTGAGTCAGTGATGCTATCCAATCATCTCATCCTCTGTCGTCCCTTTTTCTTCCTGCCTTCGATCTTTCCCAGCATCAGGGTCTTTTCCAATGAGTCAATTCTTCGCATCAGGTGGCCAAAGTATTGCAGTTTCAGCTTCAGCATCAGTCCTTCCAATGAATAGTCAGGACTGATTTCCTTTAGGACTGGCTGGTTTGATCTCCTTTTAGTACAAGGGACTCTCAAGAGTCTTCTCCAACATCACAGTTCAAAAGCATCAGTTCAGCACTCACTTTTCTTCATGGTCTAACTTTCACATCCATACATGACTACACGTAAGTAGGGGGGAGAAAAAAGTCACCTGTAATCTTACCACCAGAGATAACCACCGTTTGTCTCTAAATAACAAGCAACCTGTCGCGGTTACCTACTGCTGTGAAGAAACCACCGCAAAACCTAGTGGCCTAAAATAATGAGTCTGTGGGTTAATTGAGATCAGCTGGGTGGTTCCTCCACTTCCTGTGACTTAGCTGAAGATGCTCACACAAGCTGCTGAGCTGAAACATTTCAAGATGGCCTCTCATTGCCAAGAGCCTCTCTCCGCATGAGCTCTGACATTCAGTAACCCAACCTGCTTCTTTGCAGCTCGGTGGCTGGCTTCCAAGAGAGATAAAAGGGAAGCTCTTGAAGCCTAGGCTTGTACATGCACTGAACTTCTCCTGCACATTAGTAAAGGCAAAGCCAGGCACAATGTTGGCTGAAGTTCAAGGGGAACGGACTCCAGCATTGATGTGAAGAGAACCATGTCTGCACAGGGATGAGAGGACTCACTGGCTATTGGGAAGCTATCTACCCCACATCCGATTTGCTGACCACAAAGTCAGTAAATCTGTGGACTGTTCCTGGTACAAATAATTAGAAAAACTCAGTTCAAAAGAGACAAATGCAAAACACATGGTTTGGCCATATAAGAATCTGATAAGTGGGTTGTTTAAATAAACTGACACTTGTCACACATGCAAGGGCAAGTGGGAGGCAGGGGAGAACATCATATTATTTAGAATCCAGTGTGCATGTACATGCTCAGTCAAGTCTGTCGGGTCCAACTCTTTGCAACCCTATGAACTATAGCCAAGCTCCTCTGTCCATGGGATTCTCCAAGCAAGTATATTGCAGTGGGTTGTCATGCCCTCCTCCAGGGGATCTTCCTGACCCAAGAATTGAACCTGGGTCTCTTGCATTGCAGGCAGATTCTTTAATGGGGAAGCCCAGTGAAAGAAACTGAAGGAAAATGGCAGATCCTAGACCAAGAAAATGGTTTAAATTATTGTGAGAAGTATTCTGGAACCAACACCTCTGTACTTAACCTGAGTATTAACCCTTGAGTGTAACAGGTGGATGAAACAAGCTATTTGTCCAATCTCGCTTCCCAAGGGTCATATGGGTGGCGACCACAGGATCAGGGGGAGACACAGTTCAGCACAGTTCACTGCTGGAAGCAGGGAACTATGGGCACCACATCCCAGGAAATGACAGAATCGAAACCTGAAAGGCTAAATCTCTTGCCAATTCAAGGGGCAAGGATGAGACCAAAATGGCAGCCTTTTCGTCACCTCTGCTGCGAATGGGTCAGGAGACTTGATTCTCAGTTTTATTCCTATTATGGGAAGCCACCTTGTTGAATGGCCCAAGAAGGGCTTAATCACGCTCTCGACCTTGTCTGTGAGTATACTTGATAATGCCTACAAAGGACAGTGCCTCTCAAGTCCCACCTTGATTCTTCATCCCCACATCACCTTCATCCCTTCTTGGATTTCTGCAGGACTCCTGAGTGCTCTCTACCTGCTTCATTCCATCTCCCACACACCAGCCAGTTACTTTTTTTAATACGTATTTTGTAGTTCTAGGAAATGGCAAGGGGAAAAAAAAAAAAAAAAAAAAGACCAGAGAGAGATGCGATGTTCTGATTATGAAGACTTGTGTGTCACAACATGGACTTTACCCTAATTGAGAGGTAGTTTTTCAGGACAGATTTGCATATTTTAAAAGGATATCTCGGCAGCGAAGCGAGGGAATCAGAAGAAAGCCTTTAGTCTGAGAGATCAATAAGATATGGTAGTACTCCTGATAAGAGTAAGGGTCTGAACCAAGCTAGAGGAAGAAAAGTGGAAAGGGAGTAGATACACAGTATAAATGATAAATGGTGGCCTCCATGCAGGAGGCAGGAGGCCAGAGGAAACAAGGGGTCAAAAAACCAAAACATTTCACAGAAGCAGCATTGTAACTCAATAAAGACTTTAAAAAATCTTAAACCAGAATATATTGTTTACTACTTGCCAAAATTACTTGGTAAGAGGTTGAGGGTTACAGAGATTCTCCACCTGGAGGTAGAAAACCATTCCCCTGTCTGCAGGGGAGAAGAGGTATTACAAGATGACCATATTCAGTATATCTCATTTTCTAACTGACTAAAGAAAACAAAAGTCTACAAATACCAAACTAGATGGGGACATCATGCAAAAAAAAAAAAAAAAAAGAAAACCTACTACTTGTTTATCAAGCCTAAAGTTTGGAAAAAGAGATCAGAAGAGCCAGAGGCTGCCTAGATCCAGTCAGAATTGACACCCCTGTGTGCATATTCACCAGGTGACCTTCTGAAGACAATCTGGCTTGTCTGCAGAAAGACTGTACTAACCTGCCAACCTAAGCATTCTGGTCTACTTGATATCTGTTGGCTTTCACTATAAACTAATAGGCATTCAGGTTAATACGTCACTCTTTCATTTAATATGAGTTCACCCCAGAGAGGTAAACTCTCCACTGACAAGATTCACTTTCAGTATCTCCAAGGCTCAGGGCCAAACTGCAGTGAGGAAACACTACCGGAGGGACTTCTGGTAACCAAGGGAAAGGGTCCTGTAGGCATTCCAGGCTCACCCCAAGCCTCCTCACTGAAATACAGGAAGCACTTTTTCACCAGAGAGGTAAAAATTAAAATGTGACTGCAAACAAGGAGTAGCATTTGTTAGCATTTTTATTTTGAGTTGTAATCTATTACTTCAAAAAGATTCACTTCAAAAGAAATCCAATGGATGTTGACTTACCAGTAAAAAAGTAAGTCATCACTATGTGAGTTATAATACAGGATACACAATAAATTATATTTACATGCAATAACTAGACTATCACACACACGGTAAAAAAATACAGTATTTTATGTACATTTTTAAAGATTTACACTTTCATATACAGTTTATAAAGTTTAAAAAAGTTCTCTGTACAAAATCTCGTGTACAGAGTTTATAAATCCCTTTTCTTATGGCTGTACCACCACACAAATATGCTTAAAACTATAATTCTACAAACACTTAGGTTTCTTTTTTACAGTTCATATTCTTGGCACCCATATACAATACCATTATTTTTGAAATGTGAATTACAAAGGAAATAAAACATAATCATGCAGACTTCTCTAATAGAAGAAAATGAGATAAAATGTGCTACTAGATCAACATTTATCCATTCCATAGTTACCTAGTTCTGTTCAACCTGCTGCACTGCTTTCATACAAGTACATGCAAAACTAGCAGATCTATGGAGTGCTTTAAAAACATTAAAATAATACTATAGTCTGACAATACTTAAGCATTAGGAATGCAACTATCCAACTACTCTAGTCTGCTGCTTATTTCTGCTTTGGCAGAAACCTCAAAGAAATGAAGATACTACACACTAAAATCACAGAAAAGTCAATATTCTAACTCCTACTAAATTTCTAAAGTCTGCATCAGAGAGTACACTGATCATTTAAAAGACAAAAACAACCGAAAAGGTGTCTGACATTTAAGAGTATATTCTCTGCTCTGAGAATGGGGGGGAGGGAGAGACCTAAGATAAACCATTAAAGGATCAGCCATCATACCTGCTGAGGCGGCACTTTCACACTCCCAATCTGTTTCCGTAGAGACACCTGAAAGCTTTATAAAAAGTGGACGCTACACTACTCATCTTTTAAAAATCATCCTGAAAAGTAGTAAATTGAAGGTATCAGCACCTTCCCTCCTCCCCCAAGTAGCTAAAGATCAATGAGAAAAATAAAGTGCCAACGTCTAAAGTATTGTTAATTGTTTAAGAGGCACTAACCCATTTGATGGCTTAGGATTAAGTATGAAAATAGGCCAGATCTGATCTGAATAATAAACAGAAGGTAGGTATTCCAGAGTCGATGCAATTCCTGCCTGGATGGGGGTGGACCAGGAAGCGACCTACTCCCTTTATTGCTGTGAAACCTGTACACACACTTAGAACTCGGGCCCAGGACAATGAGATCTCTAAGACGGGAAGCACAGTGTCTGCGCCACTGTGAAGCTGAAGAAGAACGTGCACTCTGGGTCCCGGTGAGGGGAGCTGCTCAGGCTCTCTTCTCCACAGCTCATGTCTTCACAAGAGTCCTCACTGAAAGGAAGAACAGAGAAGAGGGGCCTGGTATTGAAACACACTCAAATGTCACACAGGCAAAATTAAACTGCTGAGCAAGCAGTTCTGGTCTCAGGATTTTTGCATTCAAAATTTAAACTCTACAGAGACAAAATATAACTTAGAAGGCCTTCCTAAAGGGAAGCCTATTGTAATCTCCTTAGAAAATACAGATTTGCTTAAGGGGTTTAAACTAATTACCTCTTGCTAAACTAATATTCTTGTACCAAGCAATACTAACTAGAATTCTAAGGTATTTTGAAAGTATTTAAAATCCAATGAAAAATGAAGTGAAAATATTAACTTGCTCAGTCATGTCTGACTCTTTGCAACCCCATGGATTGTAGCCTTCCAGGCTCCTCTGTCCATGGAATTCTCCAGGCAAGAGTACTGGAGTGGGTAGCCATTCCCTTCTCCAGGGGATCTTCCCGACCCGGGATCGAACCCAGGTCTCCTGCACTGCAGGCAGAGTCTCTACCATCTGAGGCACCAGGGAAGCCCTTAAATCCAATAAACACAGGCTAATGACAAAGTCCTATCATGTCTTTCTCGCATCAATAATCGCATCACTGATCTTCTCAAATACCAAACCAAGAGGCCAACAAGCTGTTAAAATGGTACTTTTGGTCTTTTCTTCCTACAGCATAAAACGGTCAAATTTAATAAAATTAAGTTCACTTTACTAACAAAAATAAATTCTGAATAAGACAAAGGCGTCTGACAAAACTAAAAATATCCTCAGAACTCAGCTCCATCAGTAATGGCAGTTCCCTTTAGTTTCCAGTCATTTAACCCACAGCCTCTTCCCACAGTATCATTTCAGGAATTCATACTAACGTTAAAAAGCCCAGAATGCTATTTGCTTGTTTTCTTAACTAAACTGAATTTCAAAGAGCAAGGGAGATGGAAAAAAACAGTTTTTAATAAGGGAGGAATGAAGTAAGTCAGAGAACAACAAATACAGTATGATGTCACCTGTATGTAGAATCTAAAAACAAAAAACAGAACTCACAGATGCAGAGAACAGATGGGTGGTTGCCAGGGGTGAGGGGAGGGGGTGGTGACGATGGCCAAAAGGTACATGCTTCCAGTTACAAGCCCTGGGGAGGTAATGATGTATAGGATGCTGGTTTGTTGTTTTTTTTTTAATAAAGAAAAAAGTTGAGGGGGGATACACTTCCCACCTATTACCTATTTCAGTAAAACTACTTTTGGTTAATCTTCTCACCCAAAGAAATGATGCCATTGTGGGGGGGCGGGGGGGCTCTAATATACAAAAAACAGTCTTAGTCTGGGGGAGTCTAATTAGTCAAGGAACCTGCTTACCTTTCACTTTCATCAAAACAGCCCCCCTCCGGTATTGTCGGCAGCTCAGGAACACTGTAATAGCTGTTATGGAGGTTCTGGGCTGTGCGCCTTGAAACAATCCAAACCAGCTTCTTAAGATCTGGTTTGCAACATTCTGGAGAAGAATATTCGGCTAGGCATTTAGAAACTAACTCCCTCCAGTAAACAAACTCGGAGTCATTCACCTGAAAAAAAAAAATTTAAGTGAAGAGGTTATGACAGTGGTTCCCAAACCTTGCTATACCTTGGACTTACTCTGTGATTCTTAAAAAATACTGTGCCTGGCTCCCACCTCCCAGATACTTTTACTTAATTGGTACGGGGGTGTCATCCAAGATTTTTTTAAAGCTCCCCAGATGATTCTTATATGCAGTCAAAATTTGGTAACCACTGCTTCAGGTGAGGAGCAGCACAGGTATAAAATATTTCCAGAGGATTCTGCCTATGTTAAGAAAACACACTGCCTATAAACAACAGGTCTGTTAATACACCAATTGTCAAGTATATTCTTTATAGTCACAATGCAAAGTAATTTAACAGAATTTAGGTTTCTGTAACATAGCTTTAATTGGACTGCTAAAATATGCATTTATATTAAAACACCAGATACATGTGAAAGGAGAAGTTGGAAATACAAGAGAAGAGGAATTTCCTCAGACGGGCACAGTTCCTCCGTCACTGGGGAATGCCCCAATTTATTTCAAGGAATCAATTTTCACCGAAGACTGTTTCCAAATAACAATACCATAAGAGGTTTAGATCCAAATTAATAAATTCGGCACTGAAACAAAAGCTGGAAGTCAGCTGTTAAAATGCTTCACACTGCATGTATCTGATCACAAACGGATGAGGATTTTGTGTCATCTTGGCTTCCGTTTCCACCGAATCTAGCCACATCTTAATCCCCTTGCAACCTGGCTTCTATCTCTCATTCTCCCGACATCATCTCCTACATGCCAACTAAGCTCCTTCGATTCTCATTACTCTGGGCCTCTCACCAAAATTCAATACTCTTGACCACTTCCTTCTTGAAAACCTCTTTCCTAAAAAAAAAAAAAAAGAAAAGAAAAGAAAACCTCTTTCCCACCTGAACGCTTGTACTTGTGTATTCCACGTTCCTTCACTTGGATCCTAACAGGGAAACTGCCAACACTGAAAATCCAGAGCTTTAACTGTCCCCTAAGCAAGGGACCCTGAGGTTTCAACTATTATTCCTCATGAGAAATTCCTAATCTTAATCTCCAACTATAATTTATATTGGCAAGAATCTACTAGACACCTACCTATCAGGCAGGTATACAAGTACCTAAAATCATACTTCTTTGACATTAACATCTCTGATATTTCCCTCAATGGTACCAATATTCTCTCCATTAGGCCCATATCTTGGTCATCCATGACTCCTTGCCTCATTTCCATGCTTGGCCTCTAAAAACTAGAGTGAGATGCCCTTATTCCTGCTTGTGACTAGCACCTAGACTTTCTATCTACAAACCTACCCTGACCGGATTCCCAAACACTTCCAGTCCACCAACCTCCTTGGCTGCCCCAACTTTCAGCGTCTAACATTCTTTTTGGTACAGCCCCAACTTTCAGCGTCTAACATTCTTTTTGGTACAGCCAGGCTCCCAGTCATCATGCCTCACATGGTCTAGCCTACTTCTCTGCTACCCAAACTTTCAAGTACATCTTTGTTTAGAGACACAGACCCTGCCTTGTGGTCGGTTCCATACTTCTCCAGCCAGACTACCAGTTTAAGAGAAACGACTGTGATTGTTTGGTTTACATCTCTTCATGACTGAAAAAAATTATCAGGCTGGCTTGACGAAGGAGTTTAAAAGCAAAAACACAGTTGATGTTATTTTGGTAATGCTACTAATGGGACAATGTCTCAGTCCTATAGATGTACTGGGATGCTGTTGGTATACTTACTGAGTTGACTGCTTAGTATGCATTTTAGAACAATGTATGCAGGGCAATACAGATCACTGTACTACCAACTGGCAAGAAGACTAGGGAAGGAATGTCTGAATACAGAAAGAGGCTAGGCTAAAGGATCAGATTCCCTTCCAGCTTAATACTATCTTGAGTTGAAGCTGCATTTGGAGAAGAACATCAACACTTAAGATACAAGGAAAAAATGAATAAAAATTAAGAGCCCAATAAAGTGTTAATGATCATTAAGTCATCACAGAAAAAATAAACCACCAGGAAGAAATTTGCTCTAAAGAACAAGTTCTGAAGATATTTACCTTGGAATGTTTTTTAACAAGCAGGAGAATTTCCAACAATTCAATGGATTTCAAAGTTTCTATTTCCAAATTGAGAAGGCACAAAGCTAGTATGGATGGCTACAAGAAAGAAAAGTAAGAAAAATAAATATTTTTTAATTCAAAATAGAAACTGATATATATATATAAGAAATTGACTTACTTTTGCTTTTGAAAAGGTAAGTCGGCAGCAGCAAGCTTTCAGCTGAGCTTCTAATTTATCAAGGCTCAGTATTTCTTTCCTATACAATGAAAAAGAAAGAATAAAATGTTTATTAAACTGGAAGGTATAAAAATATTCACTGGCACGCTAATTCTTTACTGTTACTTACAGCAATGCTAAAGTACACACTTTTCATTTTTAATCCCACTGACCTTTCTGAAGTGTGACAAAGTACGATAGTATGGTATAAGTGCAAAAAGTTTAAGGCAGTAGTAGCTTCGAATTCATAGTGCAATTTTTCTGATATTATTTTTTCCATCCGCTTTATGTCAGAAGCAGTACATTTACATTGGCTAATCCGGATCACATCATGAGTAGATGGAATATTGCATTCTTCTTCAACTATTCTAGCAGCCAGCAAAAAACAACAGACTCCAATGCAAGACAAATGCTTAGGTTTCACCTGAAAAACAAGGAACAAAAGGTTTCTTCCAACAACTGTCACTTTAACTTCGCAAAGCAGACACTTAAAATACTGTAATGAGCCCCTACTCTTAAGACAGACACGCTCAAACTGCTTCCTTGTATTTACCCTTACATACAATTATACTTAACCGTTTTTACATTTTAAGCTGTCTTAACCTCCCTTTAAAAAACAGAAAAAACATTTTGAGCATTTAAACGTGGCTAAAAAAAAATTAATGCAAATTCAAAAGCTGTTTCTAAATACACTGTATTTCTAACTTATAAAACTCATAATAGTACAATCTCCCCCAAGATAAATTAAGCCTAACACCAAGAAAATATACTTCTTTGGATATAAAAGTAACACATTCATCTTTTTATCTTCTTATCTATTTAAAAATCATCCTATGCCTCAATGCAAATTTGCCCCAAGAGAGCTACTGCGTCAGACGTGCCGAGCGCAGCAGATGTAAAAGCTGCCGTGGACAGATGGCTGCCCTCTTCTCTTCAGGGCCCTGAAAATTGACCCAGCAGCTGACAGGGATCCTACTGGCAGAAGAATAACATTTTTCTAAAGGTTGCTGATCGGTGTTTTTTTAAATTTATTTTCAACTGTAGTTGAATTATAATGTTATATGTATTACTGCCATTCAGCAAAGTAACTCTGTCAATATATACACATATATACGAATATACATTCTTTTTCATATTATTTTCCATTTTGGTTTATCACAGGATATAGAGTATAGTTCCCTGTGCTACATAGTAGGGCCTTGCTATTTATCCATTTTATATATACCAGTTTGCATCTGCTAATTCCAAACTCCCAATCCAACCCTCTCCCACCCCTCCGAACACCTCCAGTCTATTCTCTTTGTCCTTAATTCTGTTTCTGTTTCATAGATAGATTCATTTGTGTCATATTTTAGACTCCACAAATAAGTGAAATTGTATGAGTTGCTGATAACTGTTAATAAGACTGTGGCTCCCTGCTTTGAAAAGGTTTCTCATAGGGAAGGCACTCAGTCACCTTTAACATACTGCTATACTTATATTTGCCACGTGTCAGGCGTTTAAAAATACCTAGGCTTAACAGAAACATACTGGGAAATGAAAATATGAAAACCTTATTTTGAGAGCTGTGTATATACAGAACACCCAAAAAAAGTAGTCTTCATTGTGTCACGTCTTCAAAGAGAAGGTATGTAGAAGATACAGCAAAACCTAACTTAAGATACAACAATACACTGACTTTTGCAGTCTCTTAATCTGAACTAAAGATCACAACTCTGATTATTAACAATGCTTATGTATAATAACAAATACATTCATTTATCAAATAGCTATTGAATCCTTTATGCCAGGCATTGTGCTGGGCACCGGGTATTAAAAAATGAAGTTGTGTTTACAAAAATAATTAAATACCTTCATAAGAGCCAAGAATCTGTCCAAAATATTGACAGCCAAGACAAAAGTTTCAGTGCAAGATCCAAAAAAGTTGGTTAAACTCCTCAAATCTTCGACTTTGGCATTTCTCAATCTTGGACACAAAGTGTTATCTGTCTGCAATAAAAACCAAAAGCCAAAGTTTATACCTGTTTTAGAACTAGAATGGATAATACACACAGATTCAAAGAAGGTAATTGTTTCACTTAATCTTCAAGAATATGGGGGGCAGAGTGCTATCACTGAACCAAAGCGCTGCAGTTTTTCAGATACAAAATATGTATACAGAACCATTTTCTAAAAATGCACATCACATAATTGGGCAAATCACACAAAAAACATATATACATCATCAGAAACATTCAACAGCTCAACATAAAGGAAACTGCTGCCGGACTTCCAGAGGGTTACAGCAAATATAATCCAATTCCCTTGTAATGGACACATAGAAGATTCCTTGTTTTCTTTTATTAAAAAAAGAAAAACCACTTAAGAGCCTACAATACAGAAGTATTGCATAGGCAGAGGGTATTTCCATAAACGACCTGCTCAATTTCCACGGACTCTCCCGCTGCAGACTGGGAGTGTCACTTCTGACGCCACACTTCCCTAGAGTTAGTATCGCTCTCATTCTTGCTAAGAAACAAAACCAACGACCCTGTATTAAGATTTATCTTAATACTCTAGGAAGATCAATTTTGGTCTTAAGAAATTTTGCAGCCTTTAGTCCAGACTCAACTAAAATTAAAAAATGTGTCTGTGTGTATGTGTGTATATACACACACACATGTATTTTTAAAGTCACCTCCCCAAGCCCCGTCAGCGGCTGCCGCAAGGTATCTTTCCTGGGAACTTACCTCCGGGGTGGCCTCGATCAAGCTCAGCCCTTTTTCTCGAGGTTGGAATCTCTGTTCCTGCTCTAGGTAGAGGTTCAACAATCCGAAGAGCTGGACACCTTCGCGACCGGCCAAGTACTCTGCCCCTAAATCCTTCATCTGCAGCAAAGACACCACACACACAGTTCAGTGTATCCTGGGGGTGGCAGGGGTGAGCGAGAGAGAGCACAAAAGAGCAGGGGTTAATACCTCCAGCGAGGGGCGCCCCAGCCCCCGGCGAGATGCGGGTGAGGGGACCAGTCACGTCCAGCCGAACCCGGCGGAATCCTCCCCCGCGGCCAGGGAGGTGTGCAAGGGGGAGGGGCCGCGGGCACGTCCGCCGGCCAGCACTGGGTCAGGCCGGCCAGCCCCGGCCTCGCGGCAGTTTCACAAGCAGGAAACTGTCGCCGGGGCTGCGGTGTCCGAACGGTCAGCCCCACCTGAAGTCGTGGGGCCAGGGGCTTCTGCCCAGTGGAACGCACCTGGGGCTCCGAGAGCAGCGGATCCCCGGGGTAAGGGCTTTGCACAATGCGGGGGGATGGGGAAAGAAAAGTCTCGCGACTGAACAAAGAACCGGAGGGAGGAGACTCCAGGGCCCCGCCCCTCCCGCGGAGCCCGGTCCAGAAGCCCCTCTCGCAGGAGTCCAGCCCCCAAGCCTTCCCCATCCGCATCAACTGCGCCTCCTCGGAACAAAACCCGAGTGCCGGAGACCTCGGTTTCGGAAAGCGCTGGGGTGGCGCGGCCCAGCCGATCGGAGTCGGGGGGGGGGGGGGGGCAGAAAATCCAGCCCGTCCCGTGCCCAGACAACACCCGTCCATCCCCGATTCCACAACTGTGCGGAGACCAAGAGCTGTCAATCCAAGATTCACCCCAAAGAGCCCCCCTCTGACAAAATGGGGGGTGGGGGAGAGGCACCAAAGAACTACCTCCAGCCTTCTCGACACTTCACGCATCCCATCAGCATCTCTCCGCCCCCCGGCTGCCCACTGCCCCAGGGCTGAGGGCAGGACCGGAACTGCTTCCCAGGCTGAGGGATGGCCACTGACATCAGTCCCCGCAACCCCGACCAAGAACAAAGAAACTGCAATCCCGGCTGGGCCCACTTACCGTGCTGGAGCCGCGCCTCCACCGGCCCGCGGCGTCACGGTCGGAGGGGACTGGGCGTGGCGGGGGCGTCCGGACCAGTCTCCGAGCTCAGAGACCTGCCGCCTCAGCGGTGCCCCCAGACCGGCATCCGACCCTTCCCACCCCCCGCCACCAGCGCTTTGGCCTCACAGCCCCGGCTTCATCCCGCTGCCCGCGCGCCCACCCTCCTGCTGGGGCGCTGCGCCGGACCCTCTAGCCCAGGCAGACTGCGGGCTCCACCGCCGCTGCCGCCGCCGCCGCCGCTGCGGATGAAAAAGCAAACCCCTTGTTTTTGTTTTGAGTTTCCGACGCCCCCAAGGGGGCGGGGCACGTGACTCCCCGCGGAGGGATCCGCCGCTGCCGCAGCAGACATGGAAAAAGAGTTCCGCCCCTAAGCATCTGTCTCCAGTCAGCTTTGTGGCTTCCTCGACTCGCTATTGCTTTGCTGAACCAATCCTCCCTCTCGGTTCCAGGGCGGAAGACGGAATTTGGGCACCGACTTTATTCGTCGATTGAGCCCAAAGAGGAAAGAGAAGGAGTGTTAGGAGCGAGGGGCGGAAGGAGATAGGTTCTCGCCGCATCGCACCTTTTAAAGGTCCCCGATTTGTTTTGTTTTCGCTGTTTTGAAAAGTCCGCCCAAAGTAGCCAGTTCCCTGATTGGATACTGGTGGGCGAGCAGAACGCTGAAGCTCCGATTCAATCTCGAGTCTCGATTGGCTAACTGATTAGCCCTTGGGCTCTCTGATTGGTTGTTACCGGATCTTGCGCCTCTCTCTGCCTTGGGGGCCTTAGCAACTCTGAGGTCTGGATTGCGCATGCCTGAGTGGACCACTTCGGAGGAATTACTGACCTACCCGCGGGGCTGCGTATTCCTTCCAGCATTTCCCTCAAGCCTCTCTTGCACCGGTCTCCAGAGAATCTCACGTTGGGCTCTCACCTCCCCATAGAGCTGAAACAGCTAACCTTTGTGATAACGTCTCCCACCACAGGAGGATTTTTCTCCGTTCCTTTATTTTGTTCTGTAGGTCCATTTTGAATCAAATTATTGTAAAATTTTTCATTATTTACTAGTAATATTTACTAGTAAAATGCCAGTATTTACTAGTAAAATGCTATCATCTTTGATATAAAGTTTTCTTACCAAAAGAAAAAAAAATGGAAAAGATACGTAAAACAGGATTGGCAAAAAGAGTTGTTGAAACTGGGGAATGGATACAAGAGGGTTTGTTATACTAGTCTTTCTACTTATGTGTACCTTGAAATTTTCCTGTAATAAAAATAAATATTCAGTGAAGGGACTTAAAAAGTTACCTGTGCACATTGATGGTGGCAGGCAATCGTCTAATAATAGCACACCTCCTGAGGTTGTATTGTTGTTTTAATGAAGACTCAAAAGAGGCTTCTTGGTCCTTGGTCACCTGTAAATTATCATTTATTGTCCATTATAATTAGACTTGTTATTAAGAGGAGACACTTCTCTTAAGGTGGGGCAAAAAGGAAAGCAAAGACTGCCTTAGGCGGGAGAATCTTTCACAGGAAGTATCTCAGAGATGTTAAGAGGCTCCCCTCCAACATTTATAGTTACTTTCTTTACCGTCTCTTGCTTCCTCCCTGGCCGTCTGCTCAACAGGCAAATCAGTAAATAGCACGTTCTCTTGTTCTACTCTAAATAATAATCAACTAGCCCCTAGGAAGTGATTTTTCTGCCCTTCTGTATGTTTTCTGTGAATTGTTTGGTTACTTGTAAAACATGGGAAGGCATATGACATAGATTTCACAACAGCTTGCTCTTTTTTTCCAGAGCAGCTGAGGAATTTTAGAAATAGATCCCTTTGCATATAAACCAGGACTAGACATAGGTGTCTGCAGCGCAGAGCAGCTGCAGGGAGGCCAGCTCTGAAAACTAATCCTGCTATTTCAGAGTTGTGACTTGGTTCACGGTTTTGGAAAATTAAAACAATTACATTAAGAGACTGCTTGTGATTAGCAGTTTCCAAAATTTTATTCAATGTGTGTTAGATCTATGAGACGTGAAAACTACTACTTTTGTCTGATATAAACTTCTTGCTGGAAGTCTTTGCTGAAAAACATAAAAGAGTGCATGTAACTAACACGGAAAATAGAACTAAGATTAGAATTACACATATATACATGATAGCTTGTTTTACAGTGTACAAAGAGACTCAGTGAACAGTTCAGAGAGAGACAGAAAAGAGCTGGATGGAAAACATTCACCATGAAAAAGGAGAGTATGATCTCTTTGAACATGATGGAGATTGGGGACTTTTCTTCAAGTAGAAGGGCAAAGGTAGAAGAGGAACATAAACTATAGAATAAGTGATATGAAGCAGGAAATGTAAATCTTCTATGTGGTAGGAGATTTTTTAAATAATAGAGAAGATATAAGACAAAAAGGAAGAGATGGAGATATTGGCCTTTGCCTACATCACTGTTACAAAGGTCTACAAAATGTATAGAAATAGTATACAAAGTGTATACTATTTATAATTGTGGTTTTATGTGTCTTCTAACAGGTAGCTTCTTGAATGATAAGCAGTTCTCTCCAGAAAGCTTTGTAAATGGTGTTGAATTTCCTGCTCTTTAGAGGCCCTGTTCATTGTAGAAAAGACTGATCCAGTTGTCTGATATGGAGCCCCTTGTCCATTGTAGTCCACTTATCTTTTTAAGATAAAGGAAAGCAGTCATTAAAAAATAATTGGTCCCGTATTGAATCTTCCTTTAAAAAAAAAAAAAAACCTCCTTTTAAAAAAACTTTATTTTTAATGAAAGGATAATTGCTTTATAATATTTTGTGGGTTTCTGCCATACGTCTACATGAATCAGTCATAGGTATACATATGCCCCCCTCTTTCTTGAACCTCCCTCCCACCTCCCACCCCATCCTAACCCTCTAGCTTGTCACAGAGCCCCAGTTTGAGTTCCCTGAGTCACACAGAAAATTCCCACTGGCTATCTATTTTACATGTCGTCATGTTTATGTTTCCATGTTACTCACTCCATTGGCGCCACCCTCTCCTCCTGCCCACCCCCCCCCCCCCGCAACCACAAGTGTCCACAGATCTGTTCTCTATGTCTACATCTCCACTGCTGCCTTGCAAATGGGTTCACCAGTACCATCTTTCTAGATTCCATATGTATGTGTTAATATACAAATATTTGGGGGGGGGACCTCTTTTTAACAATGATTATCTTCTGGAATAGAAAATGATGCAAGTCTTCTCTTTTTACTCTGGTGATTTTTTTAGATGTTTGTGAATTTTTTTTAATTTTCTTAATGACAGCCTTTCTCCAGGCTCTATTAGTCCTCACCACATTGACTTACTTTACTGCAGCTTTAGCTCTTAGGTATTAAAGACATTCTCCTCTAGGCTAATCAGCCTTTATCTATCAGCTGCCTTTCAGTCTTTTCCTAAGCTTTCTTGAGGGCAACTTATCTACATTGTGTGTGAATTGCAAAAATCAGTTCAGTTCATTTCAGTCGCTCAGTCATGTCCGGCACTTTTTGCAACCCCATGAATCGCAGCACGCCAGGCCTCCCTGTCCATCACCAACTCCCGGAGTCTACTCAAACCCATGTCCATCGAGTCAGTGATGCCATCCAACCATCTCATCCTCTGTTGTCCCCTTCTCCTCCTGCCCCCAATCCCTCCCAGCATTAGGGTCTTTTCCAGTGAGTCAACTCTTCGCATGAGGTGGCCAAAGTACTGGAGTTTCAGCTTCAGCATCAGTCCTTCCAATGAACACCCAGGACTGATCTCCTTTAGGATGCATGAATGCAAAATAGGGGAATCAGAAATCCAGCAGTCCTCAAGAAGGGTATTGAGAGGATGTGTCTCATTATAGGCTATGTGGTCTACAGCATAGTGATGGGGGTGCAGTTGGGTTGGGTGATACTCTGCTCCCCATGAAGGCCTGACAGGGAATCAGTCATCCTCAGTGACATCTGAAACTGTAAAAAGAGAAGATGGGCACAGAGCAGGAAGTAAACAGCAGCAACACCCACGGAGAAACAATGCCTCCCTTCAGCGAATCCTTGATTTGTGAGGAGTGTCCTTCAAACCTACCCACATTTAAGCTTCCACCTTGAAAAGAAAATAGAACATTCCCAAGCAGCTGCTGCCCTGACTTCCCCAAATGCTTTAAACTCAACCTCCCTGAGTTTTGTAAGACATCAAAATTCCCACAGAACTAGATAGCATCTTTCTTCTCAGAAATGAGAAGTTTTAGATAATACATCCTACTTTTATAACAGACGTTGAATGACTACACACTAGATGCCAAACATGTTACTAGGGAGAGATATAAAAACAGATAAATAAAACATAGTCCAAGAATATGCCCTGGTGTATCTAAGGTGTAGGGCAGATGCTCTAACAAGTGATTGGAATGCCTGATTTGAGACCCAACTCGCCTATTCACTGGAGATAGTACCTCAAACGCTTTGAATAATTTGATTTGTCCAGAGTGTCAAAAGGGGGACTACCATCATACGTGGGACTTTCCCAATGCTGTGACTTCAGGAAGAAAGCAAAGTGATCATCCCTAACCTCATCAAAAGAATCAGGTAGAAAGCAGCCCTACAAGGGAAAGAAACTCAGGATCAGGATGGGAATGCTGACAAAAGACCCCACTTCTTCTTGCCCTCCACTCACTATGTCTAACTCCCTGCCTAGGCTGTTTTCTGTCCTTGAGGGTGGTTTGCAGTTCCAAATTTGCAATGCTTAGATTAACGTTTTTAGCAGAACCTGTAAAGGAAACAGAAATGCTTGTCAGAGACAGAGGCATTGGAAAAGCCTAACCTAACTCGGGGTGCCATCTTGAAGTAATTTAGGTCTTTTAACCAAGGCTTCATTTTTGAATCTGAATTGGAAAGAATGAGACAATGTATAGGCAGACAGTTCTTTTTTTTTTTTCCCAAGCAATCAGAGACTAAATCAGTGAAGGGCTCATATATTCTGTTTTCTGACTTTCTCATGGAGAAGACTTCAAATCTGAAATTAGCAAATCCAACATTCTATTTATCCCATAGTGTTTTGTGGCAGTGTGTTTTAAAAACAGAAATATGCTGCATCTTTCCGAGGGAGTGTTTGCTTATCTATGTAAGGGTTAGGGATATTTATTCGCACATGTTGATATGCTCAGGCTTCCCAGGTGGCACTGGTGGCAAAAAAAAAAAACCTGCCTGCCAATGCAGGAGACATAAGAGACATGGGTTAGAACCCTGGGTCATGAAGAGCTCCTGGAGGAGGGCATGGCAACCCACTCAAGTATTCTTGCCTGAAGAATACCGTTGACAGAGGAGCCTGGCGGGCCA